GACAGATACAGGAACTTCGAAAGACACAGGAACTATGACAGAAACATCGACGGGAACCACGATAGATACAGCTACAGCTACCAATGACACAACGACAAAACCTACGACAAATACACCTACATCATCAGAAATTTTAACCAATTCAACGCCACAACCAAAACAAAGTGAGTACATTGTCATTTTATAGAAATTCAGTTGTTGTGTAGACGAAATGTTTTTAAAAAATTTAAAATTTTGCTTAAAAATTATAGTATAAGAATACAAAAGTATGCACATAAGATTTTCTTAAATCTATCATTTAAAGAATGACCACATTGTACAATATAGTATAATGTGTTTTTTTTTCCACTAAATATTAAGGGGGTAGATTCCGGTTTAAAAAAACTTTTAAATACTATTTTTATAAAATAATTATATTTGAAATTTCTTCAACCTAGCTGAAACGGTTCTCAAGTTATCGTGTTCACAGACACACATACACACATACAGACAAGATTGCAAAACTACGTTTTTCCGACTCAGGGAGGTGTAAAACGTCGAAATTTGTAAAAATCTCTATATTTTTTTTTTACTTTCTCGTATACGAAGTGTAGAGAAAGTATTGTAAGCGCGCAAAAAAAAATACACGAGATTCTTACTAATATCAACGTTTTACACCTCCCTGGGGTATATTAAAAATGTACACATTTACATGTCTTTAAATTGTTCTGCCAAGAGTTAATTCGCGATGCAGAAAACAAAACCGATGCCTAAAACAAAATGCAACTAATTTGTTTGTCTACTCGTTTACTGATTTAATATTTTTTACTTTAAGTTGGCGCACATATATCTGTGGATATAAATATCACCTTTAACCTCAGTACAAGTATATTCAAAGACGAAGACTTTAACGCGTACAGTGATTTGTGGAATAAAACGCTTACTTTGGTGAGTGGTGTGCAATAAATGAGCTGGCATATATATATATATATATATATATATATATATATATATATATATATATATATATATATATATATATATATATATATAGAGAGAGAGAGAGAGAGAGAGAGAGAGAGAGAGATTAAGCCTTGAAAACGTAAAACAGTAACATTTTTGTTTAGCTTTTATTGAACATGATAAAAAAATGAAATTTCTTTTTAGAAAAAATCCCTAACCTATCTTACTCAGTTCAAACTTCAAATTACTGAGTCGATCGCTCTAAAAAATGAAACGTTTTTTATGAAATATCTTTTTAGTACTTTACATGTTTTCATTTACAATAGAGCTACATTACTAAAAACCATTGCGCAGCTATTGAACGTGATGACGCGTGTGGATAGACCTGCCTACTAATTTTGTCAAAATTTTAATTAATTCATAAAAAATTTATCAGGCAACCAATTAAGTCAAATTTAATGTAACGATGCATTGTCTTCATGTCTTGACCCACGTACTAATTACGAACCGTTTCTGTCAGTTAGAAGTGCCTGCAATTTCGCTCGGCCGTTTTGATCTGGACAGACAGACAGACAGAGGAAGAGAGTTAAATAAAAGCTTGTAAAAGACATTTATTACTGTAGCTATTTTTTTAAAAACAACTTTCTTTCTACAGCTAACGAAATTATTTAACAGTGTTCCAGGCTTTATACGTGTCATATTACAAGAAATAAGGTAAGAGAAATTTGATACAAGCATGAATGTAAAAACTAAAAAAAAATTTTTTTAATATTTGCACTAAAATGTATACATGGACAAAATTATGATATAAAGCATTGTCATATTGTTTATACACCAATGCAGAGGTGTAGCTATATAGTGATATTGTTAGAAGGTCAATCTTAGGTCTATCTCAGGGATAGAAATCAGGTGAAAAGTGGTTGGTAGACAGAGGTGGACTGGCCGTCCCCTTATATTTGCATATGGTTTGTAAAAACAGTCTACCTGTAAAAATAAATGTGTTAGAAAGACCTGCAAGAAACACGTCAGCCTCCTGCTAGTTTCAAGGAGAAGCAAAATGCAGTTACGTGGGGCAGTTAACCTCTGTCACTAGACTGGTTGTGATCTTAAAATTCACCAGATGGCGAAAAGTAGACCCCCCATTTAAAAGACAAAAGACTAAATTGAGTCTGACATCACAAAGGTTACAATTGTCAAGATATGTGGTACATACACTTAAATGGACATATATTGTGACAAAATAAGAGACTTGTTTTTCTTGGCTTTCAGAGCCTCGTAAAGATTATGCGATGTTTTTAAACAGCTAAGTTTTCAATCCTAAATACTAACAAACACTACTAAATTAAAATCAAGTTACTACTTCATTTTTAAGTTAATAGTTTTCTTTAAAATTTTGGATTTCTAAAGCCGAGGCAGCCTACTTACCAAATTTCAAGTGGTAATGAATACAACAACAAACTCACCCAATGATATACAGGCAGCTTTTAATACAATTTTGGAAAAAACATATGTGTTAGACAATCAGATTGTTTCTGTGAAAAATGTGGAAATAAACGGAAAGAACTGTAAGTAATACAGTAAGTTTTGTGTCATTTTAAAATTTAGTTATCTCTTTGGATAAAAAATTACAAAAAAATGCATTAAAAAAACGTTTTAATAACAAGCTTGTATGTATTCTTTATAGTTTTTCTTTATAGTTATTTAAATAGTAGTGTATAATTTATTTTCTACTTTCAAGTGCATTATTCCATAAAAGCTTGTTATTAAAACGTTTTTTTATGAATTTTTTTTTCAGTACTTTACATGTTTTATTTACAATAGTTACATGACTAAAAAGCATTGTCAAGTTTATAGCTAAAGTTTCAGTAAAGTATTATGGGCTGTAAACCCGACTAAAAACCATCGCGCGCCTATTGAACGTGATGGCGCGCTTTTGACGTAGAGCCCTCATCGCTCCACGCCCAACACGGCCGTGATGACGCGTGTGGATAGAACTGCCTACTAATTGGGTCCAAATTTTAATTAATTCATAAAAAATAATTAGGCGACCAATTAAGTCAAATTGAATGTCACGCTGCATTGTCTTAATGTCTTGACCCACGTACCAATTACGAACCGTATCTGTTAGTTAGAAGTGCCTGCAATTTCACACGGCCGTTTCGATCTAGACAGACAGACAGACAGACAGACAGACAGACAGACAGACAGACAGACAGACAGACAGACAGACAGACAGACAGACAGACAGACAGACAGACAGACAGACAGACAGACAGACAGACAGACAGACAGACAGACAGACAGACAGACAGACAGACAGACAGACAGACAGACAGACAGACAGACAGACAGACAGACAGACAGACAGACAGACAGACAGACAGACAGACAGACAGACAGACAGACAGACAGACAGACAGACAGACAGACAGACAGACAGACAGACAGACAGACAGACAGACAGACAGACAGACAGACAGACAGACAGACAGACAGACAGACAGACAGACAGACAGACAGACAGACAGACAGACAGACAGACAGACAGACAGACAGACAGACAGACAGACAGACAGACAGACAGACAGGCTGACGAGGTAGCAAGTTAAATAAAAGCTTGTAAAAACGTTTATTTAAACGTGTTGCAAATACACTAAACAGAAGTGGGGGGGGGGGGGGGGGAGAGAAAGAGATATTCGTTATGCAGTCATGTCTTTGTCAAAGATAACTCACCTGACTCCACGCTGATTTTTTAAAAAGCATAATAAAAAAAATCTTGGAGTCATGAATCCACCTTTAACTTTTCTTTTCCTGCCATTAGGGACAACCAACAGCAGTCTTTGTGACATTATACATGTCCTCGGTGGGTGCCCTGATGGTCAATCATGTAACTCAACTGATGGTACTTGCTCCATTGAAACCAAGTAAGTCAGAATAAACCCATTTTCACGGACACTTGACGGTTTATACTACCGCAATTTCTAGTGGCGTCCACAGAGGTTAGGGGGCTACTGTTCAAGCTCCGAACACTTTCTATACATATGTAAATTGTAAATGCCTATAAACGTATTGAAAACCTCCCCCCCCCCCCACCAACAATACAAATGGTGTTTGGTCAGATATTCCTCTAACAAAACAAGGACATTGCCCTCTGTGCTAGGACACCAAATCGCCCACTCCCAACTCTTAAAAGTAAAATTGACAGTCTCCAGTGTTGCCCTGAAATTAGCTGCCACTTCAGAGTAACCCCCCCCCCCACACACACACACAAGTTGAAACAATATAACCAGTCTTATATGATTGAACTATTGTATTTCACAATCTATTTCAGACCTATCAGACCTGATAATGGTAAGTCTAATTTTTTTTAAATTATATAAATTTTAAATTAATTTTCAATCAAGCTACAACTATTTGGGACGGAGTGGTCTAACGGTAGAGAGCTGAACTGCTAACCACGCCCATCACAGTTGGGTGGACTCAAGAATGGTCTACTGACTTGAACTCGAGACTTGCGGGTTAACACTAACCCGTAAGTCTCGAGTTCGAATCCGGGTTCAAGTCAGTAGACCGTCCTTGAGTCCACCCAACTCCGATGGGTACCTAACTCACGTTAGGTAAAGTAAAGGCGGCTGGGCATAGGGCTGACCACACTATCTCTTCATATGCGGAGGTCACAGAAACAAGTGAACTCTATTTTACTTGCCCTATAGACCGTCAGGTTTGAAAGGGAAGCTTTACTTTACAACTATTTGATGGGTGCATTTAAGGATTTAGTCAATCAAAACAATATAAACAATGTGTGGGAAGGAGGTGGGGGGGTAGGGGCTATGTGAGACTATATTATGCCCATGGTCGTTCTCCAGCTTTGGGCAGTTTTACTAACAAGAACCATAGAAATTTGATCACATTTATTAACAGACAAGTCGGATTGGTTTTTCAAGAAAGTGTTACCTTTACACACAAACACACACTGCTTTTTTTCACTCTCTCTCTCTCACACAAATGCACACACACATACATACAGATTCTTTTTTTCTTTCATTTCCCCAATACAGACAACACAAACCTGATTATCGGCCTTGCAGTGGGTATCCCTATGTTTTTCCTGCTGACTGCCATCATAGCCGTCTGTGTGTACATGCATGTTAAGAGAAGGAACAAAGGTTACCTAGACAAGTACTCGGAGTACAGTAACGACGAGTAAGTTAGACATCTATTTGTACAATAACCACGAGTAAGTTACACATATATTTATACAGTAACCACGAGTAAGCTACACATCTATTTATACAGTAACCACGAGTAAGCTACACATCTATTTATACAGTAACCATGAATAAGCTACACATCTATTTATACAGTAACAATGAGTAAGTTACACATCTATTTATACAGTAACAATGAGTAAATTACACATCTATTTATACAGTAACCATGAATAAGCTACACATCTATTTATACAGTAACAATGAGTAAGTTACACATCTATTTATACAGTAACCACGAGTAAGCTACACATCTATTTATACAGTAACCACGGGTAAACTACACATCTATTTATACAGTACCACGAGTAAGCTACACATCTATTTATACAGTAACCACGAGTAAGCTACACATCTATTTATACAGTAACCACGAGTAAGCTACACATCTATTTATGACCACAGTTGTATGTGTTGCTACACTACAGGCTCTACATTTCTGATAAAGCACGCTAAGCCAAAATATCAAACGTTACGTAATTCAGAATAACGCAAATAAAAAAAAATCAGTAAGGGTCAAGTAGTTTTTTTAAATACATTTTTAGTTATAAATTGAAAACTATTTAAAACTTTTACGAACGCTGTTTCTTCTTGCAAGTTACGCAATCCTGGACTAAACCCTAGCTATGAGATCCTAACCCTGGCATTAACCTTCAAACGTTACCGATTTGCCTTTGGGCATTAAAACCTACACTTCTTCTAATAATTATCATTAAACAAGTTTTTAAAAACCCACGTTTTCTGATTGAACTAAAAAGTAGAAAATAAATGCTATACATCACAATAATGCAAGCGATCACTCTACTATAAGCGATGAAAAACGTGGGGCGCCGAAGTAAAAGTTTTTTATCGGTCATTGTTAATATAAGATGTAAAAGTTATATTACTATTGATTAGATAATACTATTGACTTTTTTTAGGGAGCTGTTAGAGAGTCAACAGTATTAGAAACTGTAAGAAAATCACGGAGCCCCACGTTTTTCATCGCTTATAGTAGAGTGATCTCTTGCATTATTGTGATGTATAGCATTTATTTTCTACTTTTTATTTCAATCAGAAAACGTGGGTTTTAAAAAACTTTTTTAATGATAATTATTTTCTACTTTTTAGTCTTTGTCTGTTTGTTTGCATTCAAATCTTGCTATGGATTTTATCTTTTCGCATTCACTTTTTTTGGGTAAACGAAGACAACTCGTAAAAAACACGTGCCTTTTCCAATTTGCATAGGTTTATACACAAACACCGCGTGACCACTACTCAGTAAGCATGAAGAGGGAAAGTACCGAACCTTGTTTTCATCAAATTACAATTACTGGTACAAATCAATAGAAGTCTAAAATGATCAATAAAAGTTTTCCATGGATCAATTTAGTAATAATAATAATTGAATATTGTATTGTCATTGGAAACAAAGTTTCCCTGAAAATTTCAGCGTGCTAGCTAGCAGGGAAGTGCCCGAAATTTCGATCGCAAGATTTGATTGGAAAAACAAACAAATAAACAGACGCGAAAGCAAGTTAAAGAAAACGTGGGAATAAAAATGAAAATATCTCATCTGCAGCAAATCTGTGTTCGCCGGTCACATCGCCCCCCAGGGTGACTGGAGGAAATGGAACATGCCTCGAGGTATGAACGATGCTTACGTCACACCTAAACCAGACACCAAAGCGGAGCCCTCACATTTCTATGATTACCTGGACGCCAAGCCACGCAAAGAAGGTCAGTGCACTCACAACAAGGCTTTCGTTTCCAGCGTTAGTTTCGTAAATACCGCTTTAGTTTCCTAAAGACATATTCATTTTCGTAATTAGTGTTAGTTTCGTAGTTCAAACTCCATCAAAATATCCCGAAGTCAAGTTAATTGACCTAGACTAAATTATGTGAATGTTTATTTCTGGTTTGTAATACATTTTTCATTGTTATGTTCCATCAGCTTGTTTGAATATGGTACACCTTACAACATCTTCATACCGCAAGCTCGATGGTTGTTTATTAGGTTCACACGTGCTTGTGGTAGAGGCGTAGCTAGGGCAGGACGGATGGGGTGACCGCCCCGGGCGCCGATCCTAGAGGGGGAAAGAGGCTGCAAGGAGTCGAAAAAAAGCTCATTTTTAGTAGTGTTTTAGAACTATAAACGGTTAAAGTTAAGAAAATAGTCTGATACTGGCTTGAACGACTGTTTTCTAAATCAAATGTGATACGAAATATTACAAATTTAAAAAATTGTAAGGGGCATTGTTAGAAATCGCAACTGACATTTCCGAATTGGGGGGGGGGGGGGGCGCTTTTCGAAAGGGAAAAATTGATAGTCTTTTCCGGACGCGGAATAGTTCGATACACACCTGACACGTGATTTTCTTTGGCTAATAAAAAACATTATGTCGCTTTCAGGCATGAATGAAGGAAATTTCTCCTGGGATTTTATGTTCAAAATGTTGGAACCAGACGGCCAGGTAAGATTATGTCTTTGGCGTCTGTTTAGTTTAACGATGCAGTTTCGTCATGTTGCTGTAAATTAGAGTCTCGTGTTCGAATCTCTCCAAAACCTAAATAATGTGGTCATCTGATTTGGTTGGCCTGATTCATTATGTTTATTATAGCGAAAGAGCTGGTTAACATTAAAATAGGACCAACATTATTTTCAAATGTAAACTCGGAATAAAGTTTGTATATATTGTTTTAGTACTATTGAAGTGCTACTCTTTAAGTAAATAAAATGGGGTCTTTTCGCTATTACTCAGAAGTTCTACGAGAAATGTGAAGATACTATTTATGATTTTTACAAAAGCGTAAAATACCGTGCAATGCTGTGTCTTCATATTTTTAAGCAGGACATTTTATTTTAAAAGTTTTTACCAAAACTAACACGGTAGCATCAGTACTTAACGATAGAATATTCAAATAAGGGGGGTAATTCAACAAGTTCATATCTTCCAACTTCCAAGCAAAGTTTTTAAAAATGCTATTTGAACGTAGCTGTATCCTCGGCAAAACTTAGGAGTTGAATATGGCAAATGAAGAAGAGTTTATGGGTAGTTATTTGTTTTTCTACCACATAAGAAAGAGGTAGTGTGAGAAATAAAACCAGTTCACCATCAACGCGGAGTTAACGCCCTTTGAACTCCAATAGTTATGGGGATTTAATTTCAAATTCACTCGTTCAAGTTTTATATTTTGCTAATTGATATTTTTTAATTTTTTTTACTTAAACAGGAATTTAAACTTCAGAGACCAAAGATTAATTTGGTAAGTGAATTAATGCTATAAATAAGCCATATATTTAAAGTGGCACCTATAGATATGCTTGTAATTAAAGCACTCGTTTAAAATGAGCGTACTTTGAGAAGAACTATGCCCAATACTCTGGTGATTATTGTAAAATATTAGCAACTAATTTGTTGAAGATATTATCGATTTTAGTCAATTAGAATTTGAATTTTTAAATAGGAATTTCCTTATGAGTTAATTAAGACTAATTAGAATTTGAATTTTTATCAGGGATTTTACCAGGATATGTAACCAATACCAGCTGACAACTCAGTCAAAGTGGCCAGATCAAATTTTGCACTTTAAATTTTAAATTATTATCCTACTGTTTCTTATGATCCAAAATTGTTTTTATCTACCTCACTGATTTTTTAAAATACTGTTTCTTTCCTTTCCATCATTTGTACGGTTAACTCAAAATATTGTAATAATTTTATAGCCCTGTTTAAAGTTTGTTTTTTGTTTGTAAAAGCTTAAAAACAGTGTTTAAAAATGCATTTTTAACTTTGAATATTTTGTTATTTTTTTCTTTGAAAAAAATAAAGTAACTTTGTTAAAATTTTTAGTTAATTAAATAGAGATATCAGAGCAGACTTCCCATATTTTTCTACTGCTTATTTTAAAAGGAAACTTGACATCAACATTTTTTTGGAGGGGGAAGGGAGAATAGTTAACATTTGTTTGTTTCTTTGATTTCTGAATTCAGTAAAACCCATTATTTATTACTAATGCTATTTTTTAAAAGCCCGGAATTCAAAATTAAAAGGGTTAAATTCGCCCAACACAAAATATATCAACTGTTAATATAAATCTCTATAATATGAGCCTTCTTTGTTAAAATACATTGGTACATAATTAAAAATAGATCTAGGAATTTTGTACAGAGATTAAATGTTTGAAGCATTACAGATGGTCATATGGGAGGGGGAATCATTACACCAGAAATGTAAAACTATTTTAAATAAAGCAATATCCCACCATTTAGTTTAGAGGTGTGTTTTTTTACTGACTTTCCATTCTCAATATTGTTTCAAATCAGAAACTGAATTCTCAGTTTTTATAACTCACTGCATATACAACAGAAAGAGGTAGGGGCGAGGGGGTGGTAAGTCTGCATTTTTGTGGTTAAACATATACATCAGACTACGGAAGTTCCTATTGTATGACAGAACTCTATTGGTCTTGTCATGCTTTGTAGGTTTTTCTAATTCATTATGAGCTCTGTAGGTCCTCTTATATGAGGTCTATGTAGCTCCTGTTATGTGAGGGCTGTGTAGGGTCCTATTATAGGGTCCTGTAGGTCCTAGAGTGAGATGCTAGTACTAACGTGACTTCTGCTAATCAAAAAGTAACTATTGAACAACAAAATGACTTTTTAATTTTATATACTAATTTTAGTCAAAGGAATTCACAGAAATTATGAAAATACATGCAACAAAAAATTACTAAAGCTTGGTGTAGACTCCTCAAAGAATAATTTTAAAAATATCAATATAAAGTATTTAAATCGTAAAGCGAAAGATAATCAAATGACACCATGTCTAGTTTTTTTTATATTATTTTTGCAAATGCTTTTCATCTTAGCAAGCATTAAAAAAACTCTAAATGAAGAGTTCCTGATTCTGAGTTAAATGACTAAGTAAGCATTAGTAAGTTAATTTAAGTTCCCTTTCGAAACTGAGGGGCCTTTTCTTTCCCTAACGTGAGTCATGTACCCGTCATATTTGGGTGTACTCATGCACGTTTTACTGACTTGATCCAGGATTCGAACGCAAGACTTTAGTGTTAGCAGTCTAGCGCTCCACGGCTGGCCACGCCGTACCAACAAAAATTATAAAAATATAAACATAAAATACAATAATACGAAGATAGCATTTGAAGAAAATACATTGAATCTAGTTGCCTCAAGTAGGCTACAATCTACAATAGGACGTAGAGCTGTAATAAGGTAAAGGAAAATACCTCGTTAGCTTTTATAAACATAAAAATTGGTTGCGCAGCTTCTATTCTTGGTAATTTGGTAAATGTTTAGGTCTCATCAGCCACAGGTGGAGCCAAACAAAGATAGTTTGGAGGCGATGCTTCAAAACATAAAAAACAGCCGTATGTTTCTTTACAAAATGTGGGCGCTCTACCAAACTAAGATTTTATTGTTGTGTCGATTGCACTTCTAATAAAATAGACATAGGTATGTTTCTGTACAAAATTTGGCCGCTCTACCGAACTAAGATTTTATTTTGGTGAAGATTGCACATCTAATAAAATAGACATAGATATGTTTCTTTACAAAATCTGATCGTTCTACCAAACTAAATTTTTATTGTGGTGATGATTGCACTTCTAATAAAATAGACATAGGTATATTTCTTTACAAAATCTGGTCGTTCTACCAAACTAAGATTTTATTGTGGTGTAGATTGCACTTCAAATAAAAGGACATCTGTACATGCGTGGACTGGCTGTGTCCGAGAGGCCCGGGAAATTTTAAAAGGGGACCCTAACTCTAGATTGAACTTATTTTATTGTACATTTTTTCTCTCCATCAAAAGTAGAATTTTAATCCTAGGTATGAAGAAACGGTGAAATGATAAAATAGCAAGCATTTTTAAAATAAACACTATTAGGACAATTACAGCACCATCTAGGGGGCCCCGTCGAAATTTTCTCCTGGGGGCCGACCCATGATTTTACCAGGTAGACCAGTCGACCCCTCAAATGTAAGTTTTTTAAGAAAAAAAGAGACAGCTCTACCAAAGTAAAAAAAAATTTGTGTCTATACCACTAAATATTAAAAGACATCTGTATGCTTCTTTTTAAAATTTGGCAGCCCTACCAAACTAAAATTTAATTTTTGTTGCCTTGCCTCTCCCTGTGAAAAGACTTCTGTATTTCTCTGAAAACTTGGAGCTAACCGTGATGTAGATGATGAAGTTGACGGAAGCGTTGATCTGGTAGAAGATAGTCTGGATGTAGATGATGAGGTTCTTCTCAGCCGGCTGTATCTCTGTGTAGGTCATGTAAATATCAAGGCTGGTGGTGGGTACCACGGTGATGATGTACACGATACAAACCGTCAATAGCATCTTGATCACTTTCATGTCTTTCAGGATTCTAGACGTCGACTTTTTCGCGTTCTGTTTGGTGAACTTGGAGACTGAAATCAACTTGACGGTGATCATGGTGGTACAGATTATTACAACTATCAACGGGATGGTTGTTAAAATGTTGTTCCTGTACAACATAAAATACGAGTTAAGTGTATCGGAATTGTCTGTATAAAACTGAGTGATTCCGATCCATCCGTATGTTATATTAAGATTTGACTTGTGGTACCATATAATATAATAGCACATATAATCAGGAATTACTAATATAAAAAGGTAAACGTACACAAAAATCACAGCACATTTCATTCGAAAAGGGGTGATAATTCTAGTTACATGCAAGGGAAACCACACGGCTATGAATCTTTCAATGGAGATAATCACGACCAAAAGGAAACTAGATGCATTACCGATGCCGTTGATGGTTAGTAAAATGATGATGTAGTACGCGTAGTATGTCTTCTCTAGGTAGATGTCGAAGAGGTGAATAATTTTGCGTACATAGCAAACCTCTGTGGTCAGGGAGTACACCAAGTCAGAGACTGACAGCGAGAGCAGGACTATGTTGGTGGTGTCGCGGAACCCGCACTTGGTGATGATGTAGATGGTGAGCACGTTACCGACGATGCCGAAGGCGCACATGAAGTGGATGATGTAGGTGTTTAGGTAGACGTCGAACTGGTTGACTAGTTCGACTAAGTTCTGTGACGCCGTGTCTGGAACATTAGGGACTACCATATGGTCAAAGTTCAAGTTTAAGGTCACGTTTGTTGTGAAAGTGAATGGCGTCTCGGTAGTCTCACAAAGGAAATCAAAGTCACGTGATCTGTTCATTTTCTTAATACTTTGCGAGACTGCCTTGTTATAAAATGTAACGCTTTCGAAAAAAATCTGATATTTTAAACTTGTAATTAAATAAATTGTATGTTTACTTAGATATCAAAAGTGTTGAACACACATTTTATTCAAACTAATATTCACATTTAAGAGTTTAAAATGTGAGAGAAATTAGATAAAAGTTTTTAAAAAATGTTGTTGTGAAAAAAAAATTGAAAGTTCTCAAGTATGAAACACTTTTTCCATTTAATTTAAAAATCTAATTAATTACTTATAAATTTAAACGTTTATCTTTCTAATAAAACTAAAAGAGAATCATGAAAACAAGGCGGTTTAACATTTATTAGAGTTTAATACCATACTAGATTTTTTTTTCTAAAGTAAAATTGACGAACTGAAGTGTAAATTAATAAACGAGTGTAAAACGTACATTATAGTTTCAACTTCTTATTGTCTTTAGGTTTTCATGTACCCACCAGCGTGATTGATTAATCGAATTTTCCAAACTACAATAACGAAATATATGTTGAGGAAGTTTCATGTGGACGAGTCTAGACCTAGCATTGATGCATAGTTTCAATACCTCTGGACTCTAAAGTCTTTTTCCTCTGTGTATTCTTGTGGTTGTTTGTTTTCTATGTATCAACAACCAATCATGTATGTTAAATTATAACTTTAGAATTTAAAAAAAAATCTAAACTTAGCGCGGCTAAAAAGTCAACATACAGATCGTCCTTTCAATGTCGCTAAGTAACCAAAAAACAGGTTTAAATTTTCGAATTTTGAATCAAGATCAATATCGCTATGTCAAATATCTCTCCTTTGTTTTTCGCCAGTTCTTTCAAATAATTTAACAGACAGCCTGCTGGTTGCTGAGATTCCTAATAAGAAAACATTTACAAAATTTCGGTTGCCTCAGATTGCATTCTTTATAACGATGTGGAAATAAACATTAGGCTAGTTAAAGATGTATGGGTAGGGTTTAAACTATACCCAGGACTAGTTTGAGTGGTATGTAATACTGGGGTAATTTTTGTATCCTCCACTCAAGTGGGAATTTACATCAAGCCTAGTCCCGAGGGGACAGACAATCCCAAAATGTGGTTAATGAGATTAATTTCGTGCAGAAAATGTCTGGATTGATCCAGCGAAGTTTTTTTAATTCTACCATTTCAGCTTTGTCCGGAATATCTAAAAAAAAATGTAATCAATGTTTAGAGTTTTGTAGGTTTTATGTTTTTAGATAATTTTGCGAGGCGGTAAATTGCAGATAGATTAATTTGACTTCCTGATCTATAGGTTGAATCAATGAAAGAGGTAGTTTGTTGTTTTGTTATAACAAGATATGTTTGCTCGTGACAATAAGCAAGTCTACGTCGGGTTGGTGATTAGCTACATTTAGAGTAAAGCGGTTTAGGGTTATGGTTTAAATTAGTGATACCGTGTACATCTAGACGATGACAGTAATTTGAAGATTTATGACAGTATAGTTAAGACGTTTATAATTATGAAATTGTGCACGGTCGATCAATCTATAGGCCTACTATTATGTGATATAATACACGGAGACAATTACGTTAATTGTGTATGTCTGTGCCTACAAGTCATTCTAATGACGACAAACTAAAATATTTTAAACTAGTTGTAGGACTGTGTGGGTGAGTCGTACCAAATTGTTTTAGCTTGAGTTTTGGTCAAGGGATGCTATTAGAGTGAAAACATGTCTGTTGTCATGGAAACTGATGTGTTGTATTGGAAACTGATATGCTGTTATGGAATCTTTGGATAAACATGAAGGTGTTCTCTTCACCCAGCGTCTCAACTTCCTTCATATCAATTCATATCTTGGTACTAGCAGCTCGAAGTGGTAGACAGCCCGTCATCCCACTAAAAACTTGGTTTCTATCAAGTGATTTGTGTCTGAGCTAGTGTTTCTAACCAATGGTAATCAATCTTTAGCAAGCACATGCTCTAGTTCATATATATTTTCTCACCAATAAAAGACCCGCCTAATACAGAAAGGGGATGGTATATTTTTCATATAATTGGGAAGGGAAGGGGAAAGATAAAGATCGTCAACTAACTTGACGTCATTTATGGTTCATGGATGCCCCCCCCCCCCCCCAAATTTAACAGCTGTAAAGAAAAACCAACGGCCAAGATATAGAGCCAGACAAGTCAAGTAGTGGAACCCCCAGGGCAATTGACGGAAATCTCGACCCTAGGAAGACATGGCAACTTTCTGTGTTGGAGGAGCCCGAAAGGATAGGACGGAATTTGGAATAATTGAAAAAATTAGCAGGAGACCGTGGAGAGTGGGAAGATTAGACAGAGGCCCTGTCCTTCTCAAAGAACGAAAAGTAAAAATAATTATCATTAAAAAAGTTTTTAAAAAAATTCATAAAAAACGTTTTAATAACAAGCTTTTATGTAATGATGCACTAAAAAGTAGAAAATAAATTATAGACTACTATTTAAATAACTATAAAGAAAAGCGTGGGTCACTTTAGTATCTATTGGATACCTTTACTAATGTTAAGGAAGACACCCACGCTTTTCTTTATAGTTATTTAAATAGTAGTCTATAATTTATTTTCTACTTTTTAGTGCATCATTACATAAAAGCTTGTTATTAAAAAGTTTTTTATGAATTTTTTTTTCAGTACTTTACATGTTTTATTTACAATAGAGTTACATGACTAAAAACCATTGCGCGCCTACTGAACATCACGTTCAGTAGGCGCGCAATGGTTTTTGAACGCAGCCATTACGTGATGGCGCAGCTATTGAAGGTGATGACGCGTGTGGTGTGGTTGGCTAGACATGCCTACTAATTCGGTCCAAATTTTAATTAATTAATAAAAAATTAATTAGGCATCCAATTAAGTCAAATTTAGTTTCAGATTGCATTGTCTTCATGTCTTGACCCACGTGCCAACTGTGAATCGTGTCGGTCAAGTAGAAGTTTCCGAATTTTCACTCCTGCGTTTCCGTCTAGACAGACAGACAGAGGAAGTGAGTTAAATAAAAGCTTGTAAAAAAATTCATAAAAAACGTTTTAATAACAAGCTTTTATTTAACGATGCACTAAAAAGTAGAAAATAAATTATAGACTACTATTTAAATAACTATAAAGAAAAGCGTGGGTCACTTTAGTATCTATTGGATACCTTTACTAATGTTAAGGAAGACACCCACGCTTTTCTTTATAGTTATTTAAATAGTAGTCTATAATTTATTTTCTACTTTTTAGTGCATCGTTACATAAAAGCTTGTTATTAAAACGTTTTTTATGAATTTTTTTTTCAGTACTTTACATGTTTTATTTACAATAGAGTTACATGACTAAAAACCATTGCGCGCTTACTGAACATCACGTTCAGTAGGCGCGCAATGGTTTTTGAACGCAGCCATTACGTGATGGCGCAGCTATTGAAGGTGATGACGCGTGTGGTGTGGTTGGCTAGACATGCCTACTAATTCGGTCCAAATTTTAATTAATTCATAAAAAATTAATTAGGCATCCAATTAAGTCAAATTTAGATTCAGATTGCATTGTCTTCATGTCTTGACCCACGTGCCAACTGTGAATCGTATCGGTCAAGTAGAACTGTCCGAATTTTCACTCCTGCGTTTCCGTCTAGACAGACAGACTGTCGACAGAGGAAGTGAGTTAAATAAAAGCTTGTAAAAACCCACGTTTTCTGATTGAACTAAAAAGTAGAAAATAAATGAAAAACGTGGGGCGCCGAAGTAAAAGTTTTTATCGGTCCCACGTTTTTCATCGCTTATAGTAGAGTGATCGCTTGCGTTATTGTGATGTATAGCATTTATTTTCTACTTTTTAGTTCAATCAGAAAACGTGGGTTTTTTAAACTTTTTTAATGATAATTATTTTCTACTTTTTAGTCTTTGTCTGTTTGTTTGCATTCAAATCTTGCTATCGATTTTATATTCTCGCATTCACTTTTTTTTTTGGGTAAACGAAGACAACTCGTAAAAATTACGTGCCTTTTCCAATCGACGTTTTCTTTGTGTTGCCGTTTCTTTCACCGTTGTTTGTACACAAACACCGCGTGACCACTACTCAGTAAGCCAAAAGAGGGAGAGTACCGAACCTTGTTTTCATCAAATTACAATTACTAGGTTATGTCCCTTTTTTGTACAAATATATAGGGGCCTAAAATGATCAATAAAAATTTTCCATGGATCAATTTAGTAATAATAAGAATTGAATATTCTATTGTCATCGGAAACAAAGCTTCCCTGAAAATTTCAGCGCGCTAGCTAACTGGGAAGTGCCCGAAATTTCGATCGCAAGATTTGATTGGAGAACCAAACAAACAAACGCGAAAGCAAGTTAAAGAAAACGTGGGAATTAATGTGATGATGATTATCTAGCAAAGTTTTATTTAAAAGAAAAGAACTGGTGATATCAGTTGCTCAGCTTGAATCCCATGTGTCTACGGTAGCTTGTTGTGTTATTTGGTTTAGTGGAAGCTGTAAGCCTCAGAGTTTCTTTCCACCCCCCCCCCCTTGAAGTAAGTCTACCGCCCCACACACACCCCACCCCCACCCCTGGAACGAAATGGAATTTATATAGAAAATATATACTTTAACAGTGTCCGCCCCCCTTCCACGAAATTTTCAAGTGCACCTCCGGAGAAAAAAGTCTGGAAGAAATACTGGTAGGCATACAGCAAGTATTTAATGTACGTAGAGGTTTTTTTAGCAGTTAATAAAATTTGTATCTGAAGTGAACATGTCTTTCTAAATACCTTTGTCTTTGTCTAAATACCCCTGCTTTTGCATGAATATATGTTATAGACATATACGTTATAACATTATAATATGGGAGTAGAGGTGGGTCAGAATTGTTGTGTTGAATATGTAAATGATCCCAGGTGACTCAGGTGAGTTGTACTCACTGAAATGTTATTGTCGATTAGAGTTCACATCGCAAGCTCCTGATCGGGTTTTAAGCAAATGTTTTAGTATTTTGTGAACAATAGCATTGACTTACACTGTTGTTGTTTTTCTTCCTTTTATGTATATAGGGCCTACTGAGTATGAATGAAGTATTGTAATAGAGCAAAAAGAATCGACGTTTTGCACCATTATGAATCGAGAAAAGTTCACTGTCTGTCCATCTCCTTAGTTAAATTGACGAAATTTTGTATATACATTCTTATACTTTAATTACTTTTAATTTATGAGTGATATCCGAGATCCGGAAGGAGTATTTTGTTTTATTTCCGTTTTTTTTAATGCCGATAGCTTGAATGCCGTTTTAGTTAGGTATACAAAATTTTATAAAGGTCTGAGTGTTTTGGTATAAATGAAGCTTTGCGATCGAAAACTAACCTGAATCAGGTTTAGTTAGGTTTTGACGAAATTTCAAATATACGTATAAGATCTTATACTTCAATTACTTTTAATTTATGAGTGATCTCCGAGATCCGAAATAAGTATTTATTTCCGATTCATTTGAAAATACCGATATCTTGAATACCGTTTCGGTTAGATAGACAAAATTTCATGCATGCCTATGACTGTTTTAATTCTATTTCGTAGATTCTACCTCTATCAACTTTTGAGCGATTTCCGGTAATTGGAAAGAGTACTTTGCTTTGATTCCGATTTCTTTAAAAAAAAACAATTTAAAATTTTTATATCATATTCTCATAAAACATTTTCTAAGAATTTTTCGCCTCTATGTGTTTTCTCGAAAAAGAAGCGGTTTTACCACAAACTTCCATATTTTTATATCCCGGTTGCCAACCTTAAGTGTTATATATATTATATAATATATAAGAATAAACGAGAAAGTCTATATGGGATCTAAATCCCACTCAATTTTTATTGTTTAGTTTATATTTTTTAACATTTCGTAAGTGAATATATTTTGATTACTAACGAAAAAGCAAACTGAACTTAAAAATAAAACAATAAACCTGCCCCCTCCTTCTGAACAAAATAAAGTTCTTCAACCCGTGTCCAACCCACCACCCCGCCGTAAATGTAAGTCCCCTCATCCATTGACTACGTCTACAGGAATTCATCAACAGCTGGATTAAAAAAATACATTTTTATAAAATTACCTCCTATATGAAAGAGCTACAATTCGCGCGCTATATTGTAGGTGGTATCGGTACTTGAGGTTTCATTTCAGTACGTATCAGAATGCAACAAGTATCGTCTTGTACAGAATATTAGATTTAGAAATAATGTCGGATCGAACACACCCATTGGCTTCATAACAACATTACGTTTTCCATTCATCAGCGTTCTCATTCACATTTACAATCTGTAGACTAGACTCAGATCTTCAGTCTAGATCTAGATCTAGATCTAGATCTTAGCAATAAAAATGTCTAAGAAATCCATAAGCATAACGGTAGTCAGTTCTGAGCATGTTGTAGAGCACATTTTACCGGCGCAAATAGAATGCCACTCTAAAACTAAACATAAGAAGAAAAAGGGTGAGTTGATTGAAATTTATTAAATTTAATTTTAATTAATTTAAAAATAATTATTAGGCCTAAATTATTAAATTAATAAATAATTAATAGGCCTAGGCCTAACTAAAATTATCATTAGCTTTTTTTTGGGTGTAAACTACTGTAAAGTGATGAAAATTATCAGTTAGATTTATTATTTATTAAATCATTCAGCCCACATTCATTGACATGGTGATGGATTTAATTTTTAGTAGAATATCTAGATTCTAGATCTCAAAGAATAAGACTCCTATGTATCTCACTGTCTGTTTTTATTTTAGGCTTAACAAATTACTAAATCAGTAATTAGGCCTACTAATTAACTTTGTTTGCTGTAATCATGGAGAGAAATAAATTTAGTTATTGACTTATTGGCAAGTCAGCCATACTAGCAAATTTCATATGTAAATAAATATATCATTTTTTAATGCGAAAAATCTCCACTATCAATACAACTGTGTTGGAACAACATAGATCTAGATCAAATGTTTTTTTTTTTATGACAGGCCCTATAGGGAGTGACTTGACATATTCAACCAACTTGGGTAAAACTTCTCAGCAGCAAAGTAGCAGTGAAGATGACAATGAGATGGAAACAGAATTGCCTGGTAAGAAACAAGTAGTGGCTGGTGGGGAAGTTGAAGTTTGTAAATTTACATAGATCTATATCTAAACTTTTTATTTATTTGCAGCATTGTAGTAGGGCTGCAAACATTTATTTACCAGACACTTGACTGTGTTGAATCAATGCTCATAATGTGTATATTTTTTCTATGTTTAGCCCCAAAACAAGATGATCATGACCCTGACTATGGAGAGGTTTTTAAGTTTCGTACACATAAAAAATCAGGACAAATGGTTTCCAAAGGTACTTTTTTAGTTTTGTCAAAGGTCTAAGGGTTCTTCAAAAGATTGAGATAATTGAAAAATATATATGCTGGCAAAATAAAATAAATTAATGATAGGGAGAGCATAGCTACTACAAGCCAGCGAGAGATTAAGTGAATAAATCCAACCTACAATGGTCAATTTACGTTGGTAAATCAACATGTGAGAAAGGAAAACCAAAACACAATTACAGAAAAAGATAACTAACGTTTTAAAAGCCTGTGAATTTCAGGGATGTGACTTTTCCGAATTTTAGCGGAAATCCGATTTTTCCGTTTGAGCTGCAATTTTCCTCCGCTGATTTCATTTTTGCGAATTTTTCCGCCGATCTTCGATTTTTGCCGAAGTTTTAAAAATTAGGAAAAAAAACGAAAATGAAATCTACGGAAACGGCCGACTTGCGCATTCCATATATTCGTATTTAATTCGAGAATTACAGTACTTAGGTCAAATATGCACATTTCTTTTTAATTAGACGATTGCGCTAGGTCTGACGGTGCTAGATTAAGATGAAATATAGATCTAGGTCAAGATTCAGAATTTCTGCGAATTTCAGTATTTTTCAGAACGCAATTTTTTGGTCCAAATTTTCCGCTGATATCAGTTGAATATTTATCAAAAACACGGGAAAAGTAATCTAAAATAATGCCTTTCTTCACATGAAACTCGCATCTCCCAAGCCTGGTAATCTAGCTATCGATATAGCCTAATTTACCTTTCTGTATATTTGTTCACCCAAATCTACAGTTTCTCTCTTATTTTATTTAGCTATCTAATATGCATATTACAATCCTTGCAAAATGTGACTATGAGGACTAGACTTAACCCCCCCCCCCCCCCCCCCCCCCCCTTGTAGCAGCCGTGGCTCTTGTGACCTCACCTTGACCCCCAAGTACGTGTTTGGTACTACTTGTGGGGGAAAAAAATTAAAATGACGTCACAGTAGTTTCAAATAGCTGTTCCTGCAATACCTATGCTATAGGCCTATAGATTTAAAAAAAAAACGAACTCAGCGTGACTCCGAAGAAAAAGTACGATATGGACTGTTTTTAATAAGGGGTCTTCCATAAATAACGTCACACTCGGGGGGGGGGGGGGTCAGATAGAGTGACGTCATATTTTTTTTTTAAAAAGTAATGTTAGAAACTGAATTTTAGCAGCTATTACGTGTTTTAGAAAACTTTTTAAAAATTGTAATATAAATTGATTAATTAAAATACCCTATGTTGGTCGAGCTCAGTCAATATTTTAGAAGGAAAAAATCGATGTTTAAAAAAAAAATTCAAATTCAATTTTGAGGAGGGGGGGGGGGGGGGGCGGTTGTTGGCTGAGGTGTGACGTCATTTTTGAGGGTCGGGGGGGGGGGTCTGTCTTTTGTGATGGAGAGGAGAGGTAAAAATCGTAAAAAAACGTCATTTATGGATGACTTCAAACAATTTACAGCCATTCCAAAAACAAAAATAACGATGTGGTTTGGCTATCGAAATGGTTAACTTTGGTTCACATGTCAGACCCTTTCTAATTTCAGCTAATCTGGTCAATTTCATTTTCCATCACATGAACCCAAAACTTTCAAATTTCAATTAATCTGAATCTAGGCATTTTACAGTTGAAGACTAACATTTTTACCATGCCAATCTTTAAAAGAATATAAGGCATAATTTAAAATTGAAAACAAAAGTGTAACTAGACTAGATTAGTACACTTTAAATTAGCTTAATGTTAAACTTAATTGCCACTTTTATTACATTGTAAATGTAATTTTTTTTTAAAAGTTGTTTATAAGTTAAACATTAAATTGCAACTAGACAAGACTTTCAATGTCATTTTAGAGTAACATAAACTTCTTTTATTTATAATATTAGCTATATTAAACGATTAATTAGAACAGTAATGGCGTGAGGGTGCTTTAACTGAGATTTAAAAAATGGATAAAACATAGAGTTCTTGTCCGAAGAAAATTTCCTAATTTTTTTTCCTGGTCTGGTCACATCCCTGGAATTTGTATGGGAAATAAGAAATCTTGACATATTGTGGTAAATTTAGCCTTCTTTGTATGAAAAACAGAGAATTAGGCAAATCACTTTTAATAATGTCAACCAGGTTGGCGAGTTAACAGGTCACAATAAGTGGGTTAAAATTTATATTAAACCTGACAATTTGCTACTATTTGTGTTTGTTTTAGCTGAAACATGTACACCCAAATCATCTGCTAAAAGGGGAAAGCAGGGAACGCCAAAAAGTCTGAAAGTGAAAGCAGTAGCAACACCACCAAAGACCCCACGCTTACAAGACAAATTTTCTCATGAAGGTAACTTAATTTGCTTGCAGTATGCTTAGATGATCAGTGTTGCCTTAAAAGTCGATCAGCATTAAACCACACATAAATATCCTCTGCATGCAACACTTCCCGATGTGTCCATTAAAATTTATCTGAAATGTAATACATGGTTTCTTTAATGCAAAATCATGCACCCCTGCAGAAACTAGTAAAGTGGGAAATAAAAACAAAATCCAGGAGCTTGAAGAAAAAGTGTCGCCTTTCACATTATTTTAACTCAAAATTTGTATCATTTTTTTGGCAGTGAATAATATAAAAATGGTTTTTGATAATGCTTGAATTTTAAGAAAGTGGGCCAAATAAACACATTCTGTTTAGATTTTTCAGGAAAGTTGTACCAAATTCATATATATATATAGAGAGAGAGAGAGACATTTCGCTTCCCTAAAACCAGAATGTTTCAACTCCATTTAATGGTCATATATCTCACCCTTATTACGCAATAATTGAATTTTACTGAGTGCTTAATATAGAAATGTTATGAGAAAACAAAATTTTAAGCCTGGTTGTGGACATGAAAAGTGGAGTTGGAACAGTCTGGTTCTAGGGAAGCGATATATTAATCCTTCCTGTGGTACAAACTTGTGGTGGATGTTTAGCCTGCCTGTTATAATAGATTATTAAATTGTATGTACACTGTAGAGTACAAGAAAAATGGCAAATAGTTTTGTTACATGTTTTGCAGCTTCAACTCCTCTTAAGTTAGGTGTGGCAGCTCAGAGAGAACACAAGCGCGTGGAATCTTCAACACCTTACAGACTTCGCAAGCGTAACATGGATTCACAGCATTCAGGTGATTTTTTTTTTACGTTACGCTTGTCTTTAGGTGTTTGATACGATAATATCCTGTTCCGATTTGACGTCTTGTAATAGTGGATTTGATTGCTATAAAGTAATTTCATCCCTTCATACATTATTTAAACTATAACTTGACAAATAAATAAAAGTACAAAAATTTTTATCTTAAATTTTATTTAGTATTATGTATAAACAGAAAGAAAAAAATTAGTAATTATAAAATGTAAAAAACAATAAGTAGTAATTTAAACATGTACAGAAAGACCATGTTTCTTTTCTTTGTTAATAATGATAAACATAAATTTACATAAAATTCAGTAAGTGCCAGGTTAAAACAGAAGCCAATAATAATTGTTAATGCTAAATTTTACTTCCTAATATTTGTTTATCACTTTACATCTACTTTTGTTAAGTATTGTCTGATTGTATTACTTGCAATTACATTCAGTAGTAATAATATGTGGTAAAGGTGTTGCCTGTATTGTACTGTATAGGCATAGAGTTCCTAATGTCCAACAAGTTTCTAGTGGGATCCCTGTCATCTATATCTGTCTCTGGTAGTTCCCTCAGAGGCTGAGCTAGCAGGCTATTGGGTGAAGGGTTCCTGGTGTCTAGTAGAAGACTGATGCTGCGATCCTGCAGGAAGGCATGGCTGTCTTCCTGTAAGATGCTTGCCACCTCTGGCTTAATTTCGTGAATGAATGGAGACTGGTCGCTAGGTTCCAGGATTAATGTGGTGGGTTTCTGCATTATCTGGGGCATGGCGATTGTGGTTTGGTGTAGAGGTACTGCGTGGTGTAGAGGTACTGTGATGGTGGTTGCTGACAAGTCCTGTAAGGACAGGGACTGCTGTTGTATTTCAATGTCAGCTTGTGGAGTTTTCTTCCTTGGATTTTTTGTTTTTCCTGCGAGGACACAAAAAAATGAACGTAACAAGAATATAAAAAGAATGTAATTAATTTCATTTATCAACCTTACTAGTTTTGACGAAGAATATTTATTGGGGTAGAATTTTTTTTTTAATACATACATATTTAAGGTCATTGAAATACTTTAGAAATATACCTTACCTGTATTAGTTTTCTTTTTTTCTCCAAGAGCTTCTCTTGCATGGATTTTGGAATGTTTCTTTAGAGTACAAGATAGCTTGAAGGCTGCCCCACATGACATACACAAATATGGGCGTTCTCCTGCACAAAACATTAAGTTGTGGTGTTATATTAGTTAAACTAGTTCTCAGTACTTGGGAAATCTAGGTTAACCTATTTCCCAGTACTTGTGAAAACTAGGTTAAGCTAGTTCCAGGTACTTGTGAAAACTAGGTTAAGCTAGTTCCAGGTACTTGTGAAAACTAGGTTAAGCTAGTTCCAGGTACTTGTGAAAACTGGGTTAAACTAGTTCCAGGTACTTGTGAAAACTAGGTTAAACTAGTTCCCAGTATTCAAATGAAATGTTATTTTTTAAAATGATAATACAATTGCTGTTAACCTGAGTGGATTCTGCGGTGGTTCACTAGTGTGCTGTGCCTTGAGAAGCAGCGGTTGCATGTCTCACAGGTGTATGGTTTCTCTTGGGTGTGTGTGCGACGATGGTGCCTAAGCTCAGCGTGAGATTTAAACTTTTTATCACAGTAGTCGCAGGGGTGGTCGAATATGCCTTGGTGCATCTTCATATGGATGGTTAAACTGTTCTTCATTTTGTAAATCTGTGGTGGTAAAATTATCACTTTTTCAGCATACTCCTATCTTGGTAATTTTAATTTGGAATTACATATTTTTATAATTTTGAAAATGTAATGTCTTTAATTTTTAAATATTACTCTATGCCACAACTAAATTTTTATCAAAGCTTAGTCACTAACTTATTACTGATAGTATAAGTTGACTTACTGTTATCATAATTGCACAAGTAGTATTTTTATTTGTTTATTTAGCTTTCACTTACCCGCCCACAAACTTTGCAAATAAATCGCTCATTCTGTTTTTTGTCACTTTGCTCTTCGTTGTGACGACGTTTGTGTGTTTTCAAATCATTTAGGCTCACAAATGATTTTCCACAAATCGCACACACATGGGGTCTGTCAACTGAATTGTAAAATATCTTGATTTTGAATTTATTCAGCATTTCAGAATAGTAATAATGCTACGTTATGTGTTAAAAAAAAAACTTGTATACTGTAAAAAGTGAAATGATTACTTTCATGAGTCGTGGTATGGAAGTAATAAGAGCTCCTAGATTCAAAGCTGGCATTGCAGATTCTGCAGGAGTACTTGTCTTTGGTGTGTGAGCGGCGGTGAATAGAAAGATCATGGGCTGTTTGGAATTTTTTATCACAGAAGTCACATGACACATCTCGTGTGTTGTCGTGAGATTTTACATGCAGTTGTAGGCGAAATTTCGTTTTATAGCTCTGCAAGACATGAATATAAGTACTGTAAAGAGACATCAACAAGAAAATTAAAGTTATTTGAATTTGAAAAAAAATAATTTCCCTGCTACCTTGTCAAGAAAAACCAAAGTTGCTTACCCTGCCACATATACCACAGCTGAACTGACTAGAATCTGTGCCTCCCAGAGTTCTCTCCTCCTCTGCTGTGTGTTTTAGCTTGTGAAGATTCAAACCGGATGTTTGAGAAAAACATCTGCCACAAACATCACAGCTGTAGGGATGCTCACCTGTTAAAATCCTTTGCTTTATTGCAACATCTTTTGTAATTATAATCCTTAATTAATTATTGCAAGGAATGTATCATTTAGTGGAAATAAAACATGCAAAAACAAAACATGATTGCAAAAACAGACAAAAATTTTACCTGAATGGACTCCTAAGTGTGATCTAAGTGTTCCCTTGGATTTGAACCCCTTGCCACACTGCTCACACCTGTAGGGGCGCTGGCCTGTGTGCTGCTGCCTGTGTGACTTCAAGTCTTGAAGTTCTGGGAAAACTTGGGCACAAAATTCACAGTGGAAATCTCTTTTGTTGACATGTCTCTTCATGTGGGCCAGAAGCGCAGCTCGTTTGTTTAGGCTCTAAATTTGTTAATAGAAATAAGTTTATGTGCTTTGAAATGCCAGTAAACTTATACTATACAGACTTCGCCTAATTTTGTTATAAAATATGAGCATTTATTTTGTGTATGTATTTCAAAAATTAATTTTTAGAAAGTAGTTTTATACTACAGACAATTTTGCTCTATGCATAAATTTAGTGTTAGTTAAATTTACACTGTATAAAATATACTTCAATATTATAAACTAACTTTCCCACAAATCTGGCAAAGATATTTTTCTGCTGGTGTTTGAATGTTTTTCTCTTCCTGCTGTGATGAACTTGTGTGGTGGTGAGAAGCTTCTTGTCCTAACATGTCTCTCAGTTTCTCCTGCTCATGGGCCTTCATATGGATAAGCAAAGCCTTTTTAGTTTGACATTGCTGGAATGAAATAAAAAATTGATAGCAAAACATAGGTATCAAATGTCAAGTAAAATATGGATTGGTTTGTTTTTCTAGATAAATTCTAGCAACTTACTTTGCCACACTCCTCACATTTGATACTGCTTGCATGGTTGGGATGTTCTTTCTTCTGATGTCTGTTTAAATTTGATGTATCTGTAAAATCTTTCTTGCATACTGGACATTGATATGGCTTCTCGCCTGAATGGACTCGTTTGTGGCGTGTTAGTTGGTGTGAGTGGATGAATGTTTTATTGCATGTATCACATGAAAATCTTTTTTCTTTTTCATGAACCCATAAGTGTGACTTAAGATTTCCTCTGTCCATAAATGTCATATCACAATATGAACACTGAAGATGTTCATCCTTTATTAAAGGATCTATATTGCATAGACTTGCATTAAAATTGATAGATGAATTTATAAACTCATTTGAATAATTTGCAACTGCATCATTTAAATCATCAATTCCCTCTTCATCATTAATTTTGTTGACTTTTAAGTTATTATTCCTGGTCGTCTTGCTTCTATTAGTTCTTGTATTTCTCGTTAAAGGCTTATCCAACACCTGATTACATACATCTTGTTTGATCAATTCTTTGTCTGTAGCAATGAATTTGAAAGTTTTTTCTTCATTGATCTGATCAGTCCATACCGGTCTTAGGTGTTCATTACCTTGTATGAATTCAATTATCTGGCACACCAGAGAAATTGAGGATAGGTTAATGTTCATTTGCTGGCTGACCTGTAAAGCTTCCAAAAATAAAGCAGCAGCTTTTTCTAGTCTCCCTTTAAAGTCTTCAATATTTGTATCCATACTGCCAACTTGAGTTGTCAACCTGTTGAGTTGTATAAAAAATTTAGAATCAAGGGTTATTAAAATTATTAGGCTTAACTAGATTTTGTAGGCCTAACTACTTTTAATTTCTGTCCAGGAAGACCTACTTTCTAGATTTCGATTTAGATCTAGGGGCCTAATCTAAATTATATTAGGCCTTAGGCCTATATGAATAGATATTGAAATCTAGTCAAGAATCTGTACTGTGACTATAGATAGAGTTTAGATAATCCAGAAATTAGTCTAATCTGGATATAGAATCTAGATCTAGATCTTCCTCTTGGAAGTCTTCTCTCTAGGCCGCTAGGGCGAGGAAATGAATACAACTCGTACTTGTTAGTTGAACTAATTTACTAAAGAGAGCGTAGAATCTAGGTTCTAGTTGTAAGTTGACTTACGTCGACTTACGATCAAGAGGAATCAAAATTGCGAAAAAAAAGTTAACAAACGAAGCAACTGCTTCTAGATTAATCGTCGCGCATGTAGTAACGGCTCTGACAAACATAGGCAAGTTAAATGAAATTGAATAGTGAATTTCTAGATTCTAGGATGCCATGTTTACATTCTAAAATCTAAATGAAACAAGGAATTTAAAAATCTTAGATCTAATCTGTATGAAAGTATACGAAACAAAAATTAAAATTATTTAGAGTTAACTCCCTTGTTTAAAAAATTTAATCGTTTTTTTTTTTTAAATTTAAATTTATAAAACCATTAACCGTCTAAACTGAATCAACAAGATCTATCAATTTTTGTATTTATTAGTGTAATTAAGTCATTCAATTGATTTATCATTGTTATTCAAAAGTTTTTTTTGTATATAAAACACATTACTTTATATTTATATTATTTACTGTTCAATTTCAGGCTCATCTTCTGATGACAGTGTTGATGATGATACATCAAGTGATGAGGCACAAGAGGAGGAGGAAGAAATGTGCACTGATAAAAAATCATCAACCAACAATGACACAGATATGGTAAGATTTTTTTTTGTCTGGAACATTTAACCAAATTTATTAAGATATTTTAATGGAGCTCATGCTTTTATGTTCACCAGTTATTCTGTTGCATTTTTATTATTCAGATTTGATCAGAAATATTTCGTAATACTTTCTAAAAAAAAATTGTTTAACAGATAGCTAACTCAAATGAAAATAACTTACTGGATATGATCATGTCCACTATAACAGAACATTGCGTCATGATAGCTCAAAGCCTTGAGTTGTACTGGGTGTTTCATGAAAGTCAGTCTACCCAAGTAGTAGTTCAGTTTGCTCACAAGAGCAAAAACGTAACAACTGCAGGGCCAAAATCTTGTCAGAATATGTCCCTTAGCTGGTAACATCCCATGGTACGTGATTCTTAACTTTCAACTTATTTATTTTTAAGTACATTTTTTTTTCTATTGTAGTCTGCCAAAGCTGAGAATTACTTTGACCTTCACTCTATGGCGCCAATAACCTCAGACAGAACCATGTCCTCCTTAGACGGCCCAAGGCTTGATGTGGACACCATTCGAGAGGTTCTCAAGCACTTTGATGATGGTCACAAGAAGTCTATTTCAGAATTAATGGAGAAACACACCAGATTTTTTAAGAGATGGATGTTCAATATGTGGTAGAAAATTATTCTAAACATTGGCAAATTTTGATGTATTGTGTGATAGATGGCATTAACACGTAATGGAGGTTTTATCATGTCTCTAGCTGTAACCTCTGCCCATGGGAACTTTTGGCCTCTTTGTTTTCTCTTGCCCTGTGGTGTCCAGTGAAGAGCAGTCTTAATCAAAGGGTTAACTCTACTTCTCAGCAAATCAAATACTAGGAAGATTGTTTTAATTTTCAATATTTATCAAATAATGCAGGGTATTTTGTAAATAATTTTAAATAAAATTCAAGAATTAACAAGCTTGTCTCCTTATAGTTAGTGCTTTTGATTGTAAAAGAATACTAATTATCTAAAGGATTACGTCCCCTTAAGTCTTGTGTATTTACTTTTCTAGTCCTTTAAGCAACTGTGCTTCATAAAACTGGTTCTTTAACACAATTTTAATATCCGTATTTTGGATTCGTTATATATAATAGTTATAATAGTTATAATACCACAACTATTTCTTTTCTATGTATTCACATTTAAGACAATTTTTTTCAATTTTTCAAAATTATGCTTGAAAAAAGCTATTAACACATTTTGTTTTTGACAGCTGTGGCTATAATATATTACTGTATGGACTCGGCTCAAAGCGTCTGTTACTGGACAAGTTCAGAGAAGAATATCTGATGGAATTTTCTCACTTAGTTATTAATGGATACTTTCCTAGCCTTACAGTTAAACATGTAGGTTTTTATAAACTCTTAATTCAGGAGATTCTCTAATACTATACTGTATGCATGTTTTATTCTGATGGTACCTTTAGGAGTAGGGCTATGGCCTAATTTAGACCAATGATACTAGCTAAGAAATGGTAACAAATAGGTAGTGACATCGTTTTAGAAAGTAGGCTACCTTTTAAGTTTGTGTAAATTTTCCTAATTTAGTTACAATTTACTTTTTTATTTCACAGGAGTTTATTTTCATCTAAGTAATTGCTTGATAATTTTAATATTTCTTCTAATTCTTATAAAATTATTTTCTCAAGATCCTAAATTCAATAACAGAAGAAATTCTAGAAACATCTAAAGGATTTACAAATGTATATAGTCAGATAGAATTTATACAAGAGGCTTATAAAAATAAAAGTAAGATTATTTTTATTCTATAATATCAACTTAAGCATTACTGTATATTTGTTTTTATTTAATCTAGTTACATTTTGTTTTGTTTTTTCGTGTTGATTATTTTAGTTTTGTTTTCAATATTTTAGTTTCCTTTTGCTATTGCAGATGAGGATTTTTATTTAGTGATACACAATATAGATGGAGTCTTGCTACGCTCTGAAAAGTCCCAAGCAGTACTGAGTAGTCTGGCAAAGATTGAAGGCTTCCACATCATTGGCTCAGTGGACCATATCAATGCTGTGCTCAGTAATACATTTTTAAAAAATTTGTGGTGATAGACCTTTAGCTTATTTTGAGAAGACAAAATGATGTGCATTTTAGGAATAGTTTCTGTTAAATTTATGCCAGACAGGAAGGTTTTGGACAGTACTTTAAAAACAATTCTTAAGTTTATAAAATGACTAAATTTGAATTACTTTTCACACAAAGGGAGAGGAGGAGGTTTTAACTTTTTTACAACATACTTTAATAGTCTACGGTTGTTGTATATGATAAATTGGCCTTGTGATGGTGCGAATAGAGGGAGAAAAATGGTTAAGAAAATATATTGACAATACCTACATTTATGCATTAGAATTAATAGTATTTCTTTGTTTATTGGCAAGGAAACTATTTTGTGTTGTCCATTACTTAAGTTACAGTGATTACATTTGTTTACAATCCCAAAAGCATTTTCAAAATGACTTAAACATTTCTCATCCTAGTGTGGGACCAGAACAAGTATTGCCATTTCCGTTGGCTGTGGTATGAAACTGCCACCTTCCAACACTACGACGCGGAGAACTCGTACGAGAACTCGCTCATGGTGCAACAGTCAGGCTCGCTGGCCATGAGCTCATTGGTTCATGTGATGAGGAGTTTGACGCCTAATGCACGCCAGGTGTTTCTTCTACTGGCAGAATACCAGCTTGAGATGGGGCAAACCACAAACTATTCAGGTGAATGTTTTGATGACGTTATATATACATATCCAGCCAAAGCACAAACCAGAGGCGTAGCGACCCTTCCCGGCGCCCGGGGACAAACTTTTCGATTTGCACCCGTCTCAACCTTTCAATTTATTTTTCGAACCCCCTAAGGTCGGCGCCCGGGGACATATGTCCCCCCCCCCCCCCCCTTCGCTACGCTACTGGCACAAACCAATGTTATGGTTTTTGTTTAATAACATTGGAACATGGGTATAATAGTTTTATGATTATTGTTTCAGGCATGTCCTTCCAAACTCTGTACCACAAGTGTAGAGAAGCTTTCCTTGTTAACAGTGATCTCACCCTACAAGCTCAACTTGTTGAATTTAAAGACCATAGACTGATACTTTCAAAAAAGGTACGTTTTAAGCATTCTTAACAATAGGAACAGAACATGTGTAACAGCTAACAAAAAGAATTCATTTGTTTCTGCTCTATGCCTCTTTAAGCAAAACAGAACCTACTAATTTTGAACAGAAACTTGATCTGGGCTTGTTTTATGAGGGTTCATGCATTGAAGAGATTGCTTTTAAAATTCCATGTCATTTTAAATCGTTATCTATTAGTAAAAAAAAATGTCTGTGTAGGATGATTTTTTTTTAAAGATATATTTTACTGTTGCTTTAAAAAATAAATTCATTTTTTTGTTTCTTCCTCCAGAATTATGAAGGTATCGAACATTTAATAATTCCTGTGGACCAGGCAACCCTCAAAGAATTTATTCAAGAACATAAAAGCAGTTGACCCGATTTGTTCAGTAACACTTGAATTCCATATCCCAGGTTTTATGCCATGCTTGCCTTACATTCCCTGTAAGTTCTTGTTACTGTAGGAATTGTCAGTGGGTTTTGAATACATTCAGATTAGGCTTTCATTGGTTTTTTTTCATCTATTTCACGAAGAATTTACAAAAATTATTTTAATAAATATGCAACTGTACATTTCCTTTACAATTTATAAAAATTTTCAACTCAACTGCTGTTTTTAAACAATGTATTGATGTATGTTTTTTTAAAATTACTGTACTACTCAGACTTGGTCTGCTTTGACATAATGAAATTGTTCTCATTCTCAACTAAATAAACTGACTTCATGAACACAGCTTGTATTTTCAATACATTTTTTATTCTCTAAATTTAGAGGCAGACATTTCATACTTTCACTGATTTTACAAAAAGTTGCATACCCAAAAAAAAACACTTAAAAGGGGGAAATGTGACCAACAACACTGCGCACATACAGACATCACATGGGTTATGTTAAAGCAATAAGAATAAATACATTTGACTTGAGATGTACACAAACAAGCAGGTGGAGAGGATACAACTTACTTAATTAACAAGACCTGAGCTTATGTTTCAATATCTGTAGCTTTGACCCACCCTAATTGTTTAATTAAACAGTAAGTTGATTTTAAATCTCATAGCAACACTAAAGTGACTTAGGGTGTCAGCCTCTTGGGGTCACGAGGGAACAAAGATGTTTTCCTGATGTTGTCCAGTCCCAGATAAAGCATGGTCACTCTCTCCAGACCTGCCAATGCAAAAAAATTAGTCTCAGATCAAATGAAAATTCTAATCAATTTATAAATAGCAATAAGTTTTCATTATTTAGAGCAAAAAAAACCCCCATAAATTTGGTAAACAATTTTTTTTCCTTCCAGTCCAAACCAAATGATTATTATAATTAATTATTAATGATTATTATTATGATTAATAATAATTAATTCAACAATTATTACTATATCAATGTCAGAAAAAGTATATAAATAAATCTTACCAATCCCACCCCCACCATGAGGAGGAGCACCATATCTGAAGCTGTCGATGTAACCTTTGATTTTATCCAGCTCTGTAGGCAAGTAAACAATATTTTAATTTGGTGCAAGTTACGTATACTTTAAAACAGAACATCACAAAACAGCACATGGGCAGACTGTGAAATACTCCTATCCTAAAACTAAAATACACACACAAAAAATGTAGTTGTATCTCAAATTTATAACATGAACCAAAAAAAAAACAACTTACGACATCCATGAGCTTCAGCTCTTTTACTCAGGAGTTCTGGATCATGAATCCTCTGGGCACCAGACAAGATTTCTTCTCCCCTCATAAACATGTCATAGGAATTGGACCATTTCTGGACAGTAATTTTACATTGGTATTAACATTAAATGAGTCGATACAAGACAGTAATATTACATTGGTATTAACATTAAATGAGTCAATAAAAGACAGTAATTTTACATCTGTATTAACATTAAATGAGTCAATAAAAGACAGTAATTTTACATCTGTATTAACATTAAATGAGTCAATAAAAGACAGTAATTTTACATCGGTATTAACATTAAATGAGTCAAAAGAGACAGTAATTTTACATTGGTATTAACATTAAATGAGTCAATAAAAGACAGTAATTTTACATTGGTATTAACATTAAATGAGTCAATAAAAGACAGTAATTTTACATCGGTATTAACATTAAATGAGTCAAAAGAGACAGTAATTTTACATTGGTATTAACATTAAATGAGTCAATACAAGACAGTAATATCTGTAAAATAATGCTTACTGAATCAAAGGGGTCTGGCATGGTGTAGAAAGGTCGGACTGCAAGAGGAAACTTGTCCAGGATGAAAAAGTCGGTGTCATACTAAAAAAATGTAAAAACATGACAAAATGTTCATAGAACTAAGTGCATATTAAGGGGAAACTTATTTTGTTTAAAACCAACTTTAGTCCAATTATAATTATTTCAAGAAAAAAAAAAGCAAATAATGTAGAAAATAATAAAAAATATTGCTTTATAGTTCTCAAAAATGGAGAAAAATATAAAATTACTAAAATTAGTGAACTCTTCTAAAAGGAATTTTAAATATTTTTTAAAAACATTTAATAAATCCTTAATGAAGGTATCTCTCTCAAGAATAACCAGTTTTGCGTTTCTGCACCTTTGCTTTCACCAGTCTTCCTAACAGCTTCTCATTGGCTGTGGTGAGATCTTCTTCATCTCCCATCTCAATGCCAGCACTTCTCAGCATCTCCACACCATCCTTGTAGTTCAGTATCAAACTAGACACAAAACATTGAACAGTGTATTTGTAGCTTAGTATCAAACTAAACACAAAACAGAACATTGCACAGTGAGTCAGTGTATTTCTAGTTTAGTATCAAACACAAAACAGAACATTGAACAGTGTATTTTAGTTTAGTATCAAACTAAACACAAAAAACCCATTTATCACAGTATCTTTAAGAGTTAAACCTTTAAAAAAATGTATTACAATGTTGTGGGTTAATTGGAACACTGCACTACTTATAGTATATAAAAGTACTGTATCATTAAAACTTTACCTGGGTTCCAGAAATTTAAAAGGCTCAGATGGGAATTGCTTGTTGACTAAACTGATTTCCTCAGCATACCTAAAAAAAAATTGTAATTTAAAGTATAAAATAAGAAGTTAAAATAATCCGACTACAGCCTGTATGAATTTTTAATGCTTATAAAATAGTACTTACTCGGACTGTAGACCTTTGAACATGTTAACAAACATATCACCAATGACATCAAGGACCTCGTGATAGTGATAGTTGATTGCCATCTCAAGATCTAGACCAACAAACTCAGTCAAGTGGCGATGGGTGTTGGAATCCTCCGCACGGAATACTGAAAATTATATTCTAAGCTTTAAAAATGTGCTTTAAGCATCTTTATTTTCATGTAAACAAAAAATGACATGACATGATTATTTACAAAGTGTGAGTTGAAGATAGATCCAGTATTTGTTTTGTAGCCTACCTGCTCCCACAGTGAAGACCTTGTCAAACTCAGCACACACTGCCATCTGCTTGTACAGCTGAGGGGACTGGGCCATGTAAGCTTTAGTCTTGAAGTAAGTCACTTCAAAAACATTTGCACCACCCTCAGATGCAGCTGGGGATGGTAATTTTAACTAACAAATAGAGCAATACCTCTTACAACAGTCATTTTAGCCATATGCAATCTAGTAAACAGTTTTTCTATTTTCATTTTTGTTTTAAGTTGACTTGTAGCTAAACTACAGGATTAAAATGTACTTATGAACAAGGTTTTAATCTTTATCTGGCCAAGGTTTTATAGAAAATGTTTTTTTTGTTTGTTTGAAAGGTATCAGTTTTGACAAATTTATAATAATTTTGATTTACTACACAGTATTTCAAATCTATGTGGCTATGTAAGTTGGTGACTTTACATAATTTTGAAAGACCTTAATGTTTAGACTGTATTGCTACCTTGGGTTTTTTAATTAAAAAAAAAAAGACTAATGATAAAGCTCATCTTAACAAACTTGCTTTGTGAAATCTAATTAGTGCTAACAAAGAGAGCAAAGCCTTGTAGAGCAACATACAACCACTAAGTTATGTACTTCTGTTAAAATTAGCTCTTGTGTAAGTTCCCTTTTCAAACCTGACTGTCCGTGGGGGAAAGTGAAGCCTGTTCACCTGTTTCTGTGACCTCCACATTTGAAAGGATATTAAGGTCAATACTATCCCCAGCTACCTTTACTTTTCCTAACAATGTGATAATAGTGGCTTTTCTGCTAATATTAATCTCCTAACTTTTTTTGTTTGTTTACTGAGGTATTTTAAAAGTTAGATGTTATCAATCTTAGAATTTAAAGAGTTCTCTTTAGAGAAACTCACAACAAATGTCTGCTTAGGATACTTAATTTCGGTATGGACTTTTAGGTAACTACTTCAGAAAAATGTAGATGATATTTTAATTGAAATTTTGTTGTTCACCCTCAATGTATCTATTTTACAGATGTTGAAAACATAATAAAAAAATATTTTCACCTAGTATTTGATAAATTAAATAATTTTAAAACACAAACAATTTAATAAAAATGCAATTATTTCAAGCTGTTGTTTTCTAACCTGAAATGATCTTAGGTGTGTGGATTTCAACAAAACCTTTGGATGTCAAATAGTCACGAAAGAATCTGCACACCCCAGCCTCTAGTCTAAAAATAGACTGACTAGTCAATGTCCTAAGGTCAAGTACCCTGTTGTCTAGCCTTGTATCTTGATTGACAGTTGCCAGTTCCTGGAGGGTAAAGTGGGTTGAAAGACATTTTTATAAAAGGTACATTTCTAAGACATCAATATAAATCATTATACAACTACACAATATGGAAATTATCATCTAAAAGGTGATTGACACATTTTTTTTAATAAAGTGAATTAAATGTTGTCATGAAAGTATACAAGAAAACACAGCAGGACTACCTACTGATATCATAGAGTGGTACTACTTACCCCTTCTCCTTCAGGTCGACTAGCATCTTCAATAAGAAGGGGCAATCGTGGCTCAGCTGCACTAACCACCCAAATCTGCACACACACAAAAACAAACAATTATGCCATGTTTTGTACATTAGACTTATTGTGTTCTCAACACAATATAAAATAGTTGACACTATAAAACTATAACAAAGTAAGAATTTATAGAGAGCCAGTTGTCAGTGCTGCACCTACCTGCTTGATATGTAGCTCCACTTCCTGCTGTGTACAAGACTGTATTTTCTGACCCACTGTTTGCACCACACCCTCAACATCAATGATTGACTCAGCTGTCACACTAGCAGTTTAAAATAAATTAGAATAGTTTGTTTAAAAAATAACATTATAAATAGAATCAAGCAGTAAAATACAGATAAATAACCATCTGCACATCCTTTCTTTTTATTGAAAAGGATGGAAAAACAATAATTTTAAGTTCTAACCTTACTGAACATGAAATAAAATTTGTTAATGAATTTAATAAAAACACATTTTTAAAGATTGAAGAATTGTGTCTAACATCTTTATGAATGTATGAATGTTATGCTGAAACTTTTAAAAATTATTTTTGCTGTAGAAGAGACTTCATGACAAGTTTTCCTACTGCATCCATCCAAGTAAACCATATGCTAACATCAGACAGAAACATTCATCTCTTATCTACCAAACACTAATCACAGTGGCACCAAATCTTACCTTGAAATAAACTTGATCATCTGTTTGCTGATCGTTTCATTCTGCATGGCTACTCCCTGGACAGTCCACTTCTGCTGCCTAATAACAAAAAAGCACTGCTTGCCTGATCACATTGGTGGGAATACAAAAACAAAAAATTGTTATTTGCAGACTATAGTGCTTTGTACATATGGCTTCATTGTAATTAACAGAATGGTCGAAAGTTCAGAGTGAAGAAAAAATAGGTTGTAAGCTTATGGTGGTTTTTTTTTTGCTAATTAGAACACTGTCAAAAGATGTAGTAAAATAAAGATAAAAAGACCTCTGATGATGTTAACTGTATAGTATAAAGAAAAAAAAATTGTCTTCCAAAGAGGTGATAATAATTTCATTATAAAGAAGTTTGATGCTATTATTAAGCTAGGAAGATCTCAGGCTGCAGATGCAGTAGAAGTCATTCGTTTTTTTTGCTATATTATCAAATGATATGATAGTATCATGGTCAGCTGTCTTTATCTATCCTGCCACAAAAATGCATTTTTTACTGTTGACCCCTAAATTTTACCTTTGCTCCTACAAGTATGCAATCTTCCTCTAACCCACACTTTTTCTCCAGCAATGCCTGGCAACATTTCTGAAATTTTATAGAGGCGGCGCTGAATCTTTTCTTGTGATTGGAAGAGTGGTAAAACTCCATAGAGGCCTTTGGATACATCTTCCCCCTCTTTCTCACCTGCCTACAATAGAATTTTAAACATGCTATTAAATTTTAAAATTCATTAGGGGGGCCTATTTTTTTTTTTACCTGACATAAATATAGGAAAAAAATCAGATAATTTGAGATTTTTATCTTTAAAGGCATCAATATCTGGAGAGTATAAAGTAGCTATCAGATATATTACACTATTACACTGTATCAGTTCAAAGTGGTGTGCGGGGTTGAAAAAATAGCAAAACTTACCTCTTGTTCAGTTGGTTTTTTATACTGTGCTTTCTTGGCCGCCTTTTCAGCTTCTTTCTGTTGTTTTTTTAAAGCTTTTTTGGAAACAGGTAGCCCATCTGGCCTACAAGAACATTAGTAAAAAAAATATATATATATAATTAGACTACATTTTATCAGGCCTAATATTAATAAACTATAATTTTATAAAAGGGTAAATAATAAAATCCAAAGATTCTAAGATTGTGGTGTTATTTGTAGGCCTATTGAATTTATAAAACTAACTTGAAAATGTGTATGATTGAAAAAGAAAATGATTTAGGTCTAGGCTAGTTGACGATTCTAAAATTTAAATATTACAGAGACCAGAGATCTAGATCTTGATAGAATCTAGAATTATAGTATTTGATAAGGGTCCGAGTAGCTTAAGCTCGACTTAGACAACAACAAACAGCTGCCGGTAGTGCAAAAGTACATTTGACAACAGTACACAACGCTGAGCAGAATCGGGGACGCAAAGGGATTGGCATGATGTTGATCTATGTTTATAATCAGAAATGAGAAGATAGATCTAATTAAAACGTGCTGATAAACTTACCCGACAGCTTCTTCTCCGCTCATTTTAATATCTTTGGATCTAAATCTATAGATCTAGACCTATATTTTTATAAACAAAACGTCGCTTTTATGCTTTTTCGCAGAATAACATTGGCACGTTTACATCCCACACTGGACGGTATCGAGCCTAAATTAGCTCTTGTTAATACTCGATACTACTCATTGCTTACTTTAATAAGTTCAGGATTTGCAATTTTCTTCAGATAGTTGGCATATAGTCTGTCTAGATGCTTTTATTTTTATTTAAGTAACGTTACAAATATTTCAGTAGCATGTATTTTCAGTAAATATCTTATTGCCTTTAATAGATTTTGAAAAACATTACGCCTCGTCGAACTCTTGTACTCTAAAATAACAATGTATATTTGATGAATTTTCTTTACATGTTCGTTTGATTATTTCAACATTCACTATTTGGACCAGCAAGTTTATGTAGAGATCTACATTATATTTATTTTTTAAGTGTAACACACATTTTGTAGCCCTGTGCTGTTATTTCAATAGTTTTTTTTTTAATGTTCTGTAGTATCGATATTTGTATCGATGCTTCTAATATCACAATGTTCCTTTCGGTTTCTTCAAAACATGCTGCAATACGCAGTAATGCGTAGAGCAATGTAGGCCTATTGCAGCAATAGATTTAGGCCTAGAATGAATCTATAGAGCCTAGAAGCCAAAACAATTAAGACAGTTATAAGCATAGTTTTGAGCTAAAAATAACTTACATATTTTGATTTTTAAATAGGCCATGACGCTCAGTTTGTATGATGTATCGTTTTGCAATGGTATTTTCTTAAAACAGTCTAGTTCATTAGGCGGATCTGTGAAGGGAAAAAGGGGGGGGGGGGGGGGGCGGAGAATTAAAGTATGTTAGATGTGAATAGGTAAGGAAACAATACATGTAAATCCAAATATCTTCGGCCTTGAGGATGTACTATAAATGACGTTAGGCTTTATTGACGATTTGAACTCCACTTCCCTCCCCCTTCCCATTTAATGTGTTATCCAGTTAAAATAATAAAATTGTACCAGAGAGAGAGGGGTATAAAAAAAAACTGAAAATACGAAATTGTTGGAAGGAGTGACACCTTTATTTACCACACCGCGGGTGACACCCATTATTGTGACGCCACTGATACTTAGGCCTGTGTCAATCTCGGAGAAAAGAGCAGTTTACATCAGACATAATAAATAACCCAAGTATAACCACCCACGCATTATGGCAACCGGATCCTAATCTAGACATTTTTTGTCTCGATTGTGTCAGCCTACACAATTATATTTGTGTAGCGAGTGCTAGATGGGGCGGAACACCTCTTACTCCCACCATCACAGTCCTGTTACCAGAGTTTTCTTTCAGACATTTCCCACGAGCCCATCACCCCCTCCCCTCCCACCCCATAGACGAAATAGAACAAATATATAATTTAAATAAAAAGAATATTCTAAACACTGTGCACCCCTCCCTAAAATTATAAGTGCCCCTTCCACGGACATCGTAGCTCCATCTATGCACACTTTAATAAAATGACGCCTCGAGAAAAGCACAGAAGATTGACACAATTTAGTGTAAATATCGAACTAGACCTTTGTGCAAGGGGTACTCAATAAAGAGGTGGAGGATTCTCCAAGTCATCAGAGTTCTTCTAGGCATCTCTTCGGGGGGGGGGGGGGGGGGCAAAGCCCCCCCCCCCCCCCCCGAAATTTTTTTACCGCCCCCCCCCCCCCCCGAACGAAATGAAATTTATGTAATTTATATAGAAAAAATATACTTTTAACAGTGTCCGCCCCCCCCCCCCGAAGAAAGTCTACCGCCCCCCCGAAAATTTCAAGTGCCCCCCCCGGAGAAAAAAGTCTGGAAGAAACACTGCAAGTCATAGGTTTGTAATTTTTATACGTCGGCCTTGTATCCTACGCCAATCATTTGGTTACTTTTGTATGTCGGCATTGTGTCCTACACCCATCAGTTGCTTACTTTTGTATGTCGGCATTGTGTCCTACATTCATCTGTTGATTACTTTTGTATGTCGGCATTGTGTCCTACATTCATCTGTTGATTACTTTTGTATGTCGGCATTGTGTCCTACACCCATCTGTCTACTACTTTTGTATGTCGGCATTGTGTCCTACGCTCATCTGTCTACTACTTTTGTATGTCGGCATTGTGTCCTACACCCATCTGTCTACTACTTTTGTATGTCGGCATTGTGTCCTACGCTCATCTGTCTACTACTTTTGTATGTCGGCATTGTGTCCTACGCTCATCTGTCTACTACTTTTGTATGTCGGCATTGTGTCCTACGCTCATCTGTCTACTACTTTTGTATGTCGGCATTGTGTCCTACACCCATCTGTCTACTACTTTTGTATGTCGGCATTGTGTCCTACGCTCATCTGTCTACTACTTTTGTATGTCGGCATTGTGTCCTGCTCTCATCTGTCTACTACTTTTGTATGTCGGCATTGTGTCCTACACTCATCTGTTGGTTACTTTTGTATGTCGGCATTGTGTCCTACGCTCATCTGTCTACTACTTTTGTATGTCGGCATTGTGTCCTGCTCTCATCTGTCTACTACTTTTGTATGTCGGCATTGTGTCCTACACTCATCTGTTGGTTACTTTTGTATGTCGGCATTGTGTCCTACGCTCATCTGTCTACTACTTTTGTATGTCGGCATTGTGTCCTACGCCCATAATTTGATTACTTTTGTATGTCGGCATTGTGTCCTACAACCATCGGAAATACTAGTCTGTGAGGGTAGAAGGCTAAGCTGGGTTTGGGCAAGAGAGAGTTCCAGAGGCGTAGCGACCCTTCCCGGCGCCCGGGGACAAACTTTTCGATTTGCACCCTCCCTCAAGATTTCGATTTGCACCCCCCCTCTCAAACTTTCGATTTGCACCATCTCAACCTTTCAATTTATTTTTCCAAGCCATTTTGGCGCCCCCGGGGACATATGTCCCCCCCCCCCCTCGCTACGCTACTGGAGAGTTCTGAGTAATTATTGGTAACCTTGGAATCTGCTAAATTAGCGTACGGCGTAGCTTCTAACAAAAATATTTCCTTTTTCAACATTCCAGCACACATTGGGTGAATCTGCATGGAATTAAGTTATTATTATTGTCTATTGATCCTTTAATATGAATATTATTCATGTATCCTTTTTTCTCTCCTACTAATACTTAGAACGGTCTTTTTGACACCTGCCTTAGGTCTAAGTCTTGAAGCGTATACGCTTATGACTTTAGGCCTTGTTTGCTTTGAATTAAAATTTCATTTCATAAAAGGCACATTTTCTTAAACTCTTACAATGAAGAACGAGCTGCTTTATCTTTTTTAAGTGAATTAATATTCTCCGGCCAATTCAATTTTTATCTTATTTAATTTTTTAATGAATTTTCTCACAAAATCGATCGGATCTGCATGTGCATCCCTCCCATTCCCTTTCCATTCTGCACATTGCATAGGTTTCCTTTAATGTACGTTAAGCTGCCCCGGTTGTGGAGAAATTGCGCTAGTGGTAATCAAACTGTTTATTTTTCTTATTGTTTGAGTATATGTAGCTTAGGTACCATTTCCGTTTGGCAGGACACATTTGAAAATTCAATGAAAATGCTGTAGAAACTGCCTTTCGTTCATGACTGTCCACAACCGACAACCCTTTAATTAATAAAAAAAAAAGCTCATTAGCGCAATCTATTAATTTATAAAGACTGTTTTTTCCCTTAGCCCTCCCCCCCCCCCCCCCCCACGATACATACATTCAATTGTTCTTAGTGTGCGAATACTTTGGACTCGTCTCGACCCATTGCCTTGATCTGACTAGCAGGAAGTTGGTTGGACAAAAATAATCTGGTACAAGCCGGCTATTAATAACTTTTGACCTCAATCGGAAGGGAGAAGACTGATTTTTTTGTAGTGAAGATTCTCTCATAGTTTGTCGCGCTTGTTTACAAACTGCTATCGCAAAAAGAAACTAGAGAATCTAGAAGAAAGTATGTCTAGATCTACAACAAGAAGATGTAGACAAATGAGCAGTAAGTTTTTAAAAATAAATTGTTTACTTACTACTTAGCATTCGTTTAATAATATTAATATCTACTTCACTTCACTAGTAGATCCTATTAATTAAGACCTATTAAGTAAAATAAAAACAAATAGAAATCTACATAAAATTCTGTTCTAGATCTAGATCTAGATCTAGATCTAGATTCTAGATTCTAGATCTAGATCTAGATTCTAGTTTCATTTCATTTATTAAAATTTATTTTGATTTTTTTAGATGATTCTAATTTCTATTCTAGAATAGAGCTCGATTATTTAAGTGAAAACGAGTAAAAAGTAGATCTAGATTCTAGATCTAGATCTAGTGATCTAGATTCTAGATCTAGATCTTCTAGCTAATTTGCATTCACACTTTTTAGACTCTTGCCTTACATCTAGAATTTGAATATATCAATAATTTTTTAATATCATTGTAGGCAAAGCATTGTACATTTTTATTAGATTTAGATTCAAGATCTAGATATCTAATCTAGATTCTAAATCTAGATCTAGATTAGATCTAGATTTAGATCTAGAAATCTAGATCTAGTCTCTAGTAAATGCTGTGACAAAATGGATGTTTTCATTCTTAAATTTCTTTTGCATAGATTAACCTAATCTAGATCTAGATCTAGATTAATAATTAATACTAGATCTAGATCTAAATGCTATCAAATTTAATTCTAATATATCTAAATCAAACTAGATCTAGATTTTGAAATCGAATAGATTAAAAAAATGTGTCGTAATGTATGGCATTTGTCATGTGGATTGTTGAGTAGTGTTATAGTTTAACAGCATTTTAGGCCTTGCTATTCTAGGCTATAGTTTATCATTATTTATATGCATGCATACGGTTTCCGTTTATTTTGTTTATATTTTGTTTGATGCAACCCATGTAATTTATTACTCCATATATTATAACCTTAGTGATAGATTCAACTTCATTTTATTGGGTGAAACAAAATGCGTAGCTTTGGTACGCTACTTAAATCTCCATGGCCTGACATGGTAGAGCGATTTCGATTCCTGAGTAACCCGCCCATTGTCGCCGGCTTATCTCACGAGACAGGTAGGCCC